ATTACAGATATACCACGGACCACTACCCTACTTTCCTCTAAAAATCTTGGAAATTACCCCAAACACTACTAAAAGTCCCTTCGACTTTCACAATGAGCGCCATTAAAATTTCACAACGCTTTAGCAACATTGTTTGGGCACCTGAGCTAGAAATCAATACAGATATTGACGAATGTATTAAAATTTTTCAAAAAAAGACTCTACCTCAAACAACACTCCCCAAAAAAAAACAAAAGCAGAGGACGTAAGAGACGAACAGTCCCGGGCTAACACCCAATTCTCAAACCCATAAATAAAAAAACCAAAATATAAAAAACATACAAATGGGCCCAATAACCAAGACCAAAAAAAAACGTTATGTCAATCCTAACCAGCCTGATAAAGGGCAAAAAAATGTATTATGAAAAATTTATCCAATTTACGGGGGATGATAAAAAAAGACCGGAAAAAAACCCTATCAGAAATTTCGGGAAAAAAAAAATCACGAAATAGCAAATAAAATTAGCAAAACAGATAAACCCCCAACTCCCCCAACAGAAACAGAAAAACAGACTCAATGTTTTTTCCTCCACATGGACAAACCTTGCCAATAAAACCCCCAAGTCAGTACCCCACCAAATGTCCCTCCCCGGGCAACTCCCCGGAACACACTGTTCCAGTCGACTAACCCATACAAGTCTCCCTTATTTCAACCACTAAAAAAAAAAGGGCGGAATTTAAATACCTTACCCCTTTTTATATAAAAAAAAAAGGCCAATGCTACACCAATCATTGCAACACCCTTTAAAAAACCAAAAATCCCCCCTTTTCCCTACGTACTCAAAAGAAAGGGGTACCCACCACAAAAGGAGGAGCCCAAACGAGTTGAATAACTATAGGCCAATACCCAACTTACACCCTCTCTAAAAATCTTCAAAAAAATTAATTCATAAAGAATCTACTCCTACCTTATCCCCCAAAACATACTCAACCCCCCCATTTGGATTCAGGCCTAATAAAAATACAATAAAGCTTTTTATCACATGCTAGAACATTATACACTGAATAGAGAAAAAAGAAATCCCATGGGGGTCTCATTGACTTACCTAAAGCTTTGATACAGTTTACCCTGATTGCTCCCCGTAAAATTTCACACTATGGTATAAAGGGCACTCCCCCAACTACCTAAGTCATACCCCAGAAAAGAAGCCAATTGGTACGCAAAAGGGGCAAACTCTTTGCACAACCAAATTTCAGTTGGTGTCCCACAGGGAAGTGTCCTTGCCCTCTTTCTTTCTCCTATAATAATGACCTACCAAATGCTTTCAATTTCTCAAACCCACACATTTGGATGACACAACATACGTCTTCTCCCACCCCGGGCCCCGTACGCTAGCCCAAACTGTAAATACCGAATACAGAAAATTTACCTGGATGATATAACAAATTACAATAAAAATTTACAAAAACCCACTTCATTCAGTTTGGTAACAGAGTACAGATGTCCCTCTAAATAATGATAACGGATCACCCATACAAAGCTAACAGAGGGAAAAAATTTTAGGAAACCACCTTTAAAAGACCAAATTTAACACATATACAACAAATTTTTTAAGAAAATTTCCAAGACTGAGGGATACTATCGAAGATACGGTCTATGCCCACAGTAGCCCCCCTGGCCCATATCACTCTCTTTTTTACCCCTATCCACCTAGAATTTGTGCTGGGGGTCAACAACAAGTAAACCCTTCAGCACTAATTCCCAACAAAAGGCTGCGTTAGAAGTAACAAAATTTTCACTACAGGAGCACACTCCACCCAAAATTCAAACCTCAAACCCATCACCCTACAAAACATCCCCACTTATTATGCCCATTACATACATAAACATCAACTTTATTAACCCCCCCCTCAAAATCTCCTTGCCAACCTCAACAGAACACATACCATAACACAAGGACAGATCACTCTTTGATATTCCCGTGTCCATCTCACGTATGCAAAAACTCAAAGCACATAAAAGGCCCTAAAATCTGAATTATTACCCGTTAATATAAAAGAAACATACCCGTTTATAAATTCAAGTTCCTTCTCAAAAATCACTTACTACCCAAAACCAAATAAATACTGAAAATGAACCTTTTAAATTTTATATCTTAAAAGTTTCTCAAAATTATACACATAAAGTTAAAACCCAAAACCCAATCTAAATTATTATTTTTTTTAAAATTCAACCTTAAAAGAAAACTCCATTCTATGAATTTTCAACAATGCATGAACCATTGATGTCTTTTAATACCACTTGTGCTTATAGTAATAGTTTACATTAATGTTTTTCCTGATTTTTCATTGCTTAGTTAATCTTAAATTAATTTTTAACCAGCCCCTAATGCTATGCATAGTTAAGTGGCTTTTGGGATGCTGCTCTTATCTGATTTTTTTTTGTACCTCTGAAGTGTGCTCAAATTTAAAAAAAAAAATAAAAAAATAAACAAATAAATAAAACTAAGTACCACAGTCAGCTGTTGGACCCTCAGCGTTGCTGGGTCGTCAGCTGGCTGCACCCGGGCAGCTGTTTTTACACCCCGGCAGCTGTTGCTGAACCATCAGTGTTGCTGGTCAGCAGCTGTTGCTGCCTACGGTCAGCTGTTGTGGACCCGTCAGCTGTTGCTGGGTCAGTCAGCTGCTGCGCACCATGGGCAGTGTTGTGGACCAGTCAGCTTTGCTGGATCAGCCAGCTGCGCGACCACAGTCAACTGTTGCGGGCCATAGCTGTTGCTGGATCGTCAGCTGTTGTGGGTCAGTCAGCTGCGCTCCACCATGGTCAGCGTTGCGGGCCAGTCAGCTGTTGCTGGTCAGTCAGCGTGCTCCCCCAAGTCAGCTGCTGCTCACCCGTCAGCGTTGCTCCACCACAGTCAGCTGTTTTCTGCACCCCATCAGCTGTACTGCCAAAAATGTGGAGGTTTTTGTTGGTGGCTTAAGTGAAAAAATTTCCGAGAAACGTTAACCCCCGAGGTTAGCCCCCCAGGATATCCAAAAAAGTCAGGAATCATCGAGGACTGTCTAAATTAATTTCCCGTGGGGGCCCTTAAACTTGCCCCCCAGGATGCACCCACAACATCAACTAACACCGATGAACAGAAAAAATGCCTGGAAATAGTGCTATATTGGGGAATTTAAGGCCGCAAGGTTGGTTTAGAGATTTAAGAATTTTAGTGGGATAACAGTGCAATAAGGCATGGCAAAAACTGAAAAAAATTATCCCCCAACAAGTGTTCAATTGTGCAAAACAGGTCTTTCTGAAAAAAAATGTCAAAAGGACCTACATTCTCAGGAGGAAAAAGGGACCCCCCGGACACAACCTAGAAAGACAGGCTACCCTCATTTTTTGTTGTAATGTTTGGGGGATTGCAAGTGAAGTTTTTACGGTGATACTCTGAAAATCCCAGTGTTTCAAAAAAACTGTTCATCATATCAATACTACTCTTCAAAAAATGTGTTTTTAACATTTATTTTTGTAGTTATTGTGATGTCTTAGTTTTTTTTGTAGGGAAATGTATATTTCATGGAAAAAAAAAATTAATACTTTTGGCTGTCTGGAACAGATTAATTGGATTTCCATTATTTCTTATGGGGAAAATTAACTCGGCTAACGATAATTTCGGCTAACGATGAGCTCTCAGGAACGGATTAACATCGTTAGGCGAGGGTCCACCGTATTTTCGTATAGCATTTATGGTTGTATTCTCGTTTTCTTGGTCTCATTTGATAGAATGGAAAATATATTATAGAAATAGAGGTGATTTTGATTGGTTTTACTATGAAAAGAACATTGAAATGGAGCTCAAAGTAGGGGAAATATTTTATTTTTGCCGATGTTCAAAAGTAAACAAATGAAGTCATTTTCCAATAAATGTCCAAGTAGCCATTCTAATAAGCAGTCATGAATGGGTTGACATTATTTATACAATTATTACAATACTGCAGTAGTCTGCATAACAGTAAACCTATTTTTTGTTTGAATAAGAATTCAAAATAGAAAGCAAGAGTAATATCAGAGGGGCCTGGAGACATGACTGATGAACAAAGAAAATGTTATTTTAGAGCCAGGAATGTCTACATTGTTCATTCTGGACCCTATTTTGAAACTGTCATATTTTTTAATTTTCATAAAATTGGACAAACTGCAAATTTTTGACCACGTTATTGGGTAGTTGAAATCGGTAAATGGGCAGTTTCTTGTACTCAATTGAAATAAAAAATGGAGTTCTAAAGAAATAGCTGTGAGTTTGGTCGACTGGAACAATGGAATTAGCCGAAAATAGGGCTCAAAGTGGGCAAAATCGTCGATTTGTAAATATTGCCGAGGTTGCTAACTTCGTGAGAGCATGATTCCATCAGTTTTCCATCAAATTTCGTTCTTTTGGTGTCATTACAATCGGGAAAAGATTCTCTATCATTTCATAAGAAAAACATAATTTTTTTTTTTTAATTTTGCGACACCAGGAGACACCTCAGGATTTGGGGTTGCGACAGTAAAGGGGTTAAACAAATAGTTTTAAGTCAATGTATAAGCATTATTAATACAGCCACAAGCAAATGCTAAATTTGTATAGAGCCAACAGCAACTAGGAAATAGGAGGTAATTAGGTTTGATCCAAGGAAGGAAAGAGTAGCTCCAATTCATTGCATCAAGAGCCTTTCACCAACATCAAGGCACCCCTATCCCTGGAGATATTCATATAACTACTTCAGTAAATGAAAAAATATAGATCTGATAGACTGCTACTGGCCCATAATACAATAGCAATTACTATATATATCTTTTCTGCACATCTCTCATTACTGAAATCAAGGCATTTACGTTTTTTTCCCCCACAAAAGTTCTAACTTTAGTCTGCGAGAAATGCTCTGCTTAAAAAAAGTGGTTTTTCCATAATGTATGAAAAAAATTTCACCTAATTTTGAAAATTCTGTATTTTTTGAAATTAATTAATATAAAAGATTTAACTTTTCTTTACCTGCTTCTCATAGTGTTCATTTGCTGTTTTTAATTCGTTATTAACAGTAAGAAGCTCTGTCAGTTTCTTCTTTGCCAACTCATACTTTTGCAGAATCTTTTCCTTTTCCTTGCCATCCTGCTCTTGTTCCTCTATCTGGATCATTAGCTTCTCCAGCTCTGTCTGGTATGACATTTTCTGGGTGCAGGTATAAATACTTTAGTTAGGATTATATACATTCAAACAATTCATGCAATACATAAAAGCAAGCAAAAATGATGCAATAGATTACACAAAATAAACAACATGTAATATATTAGAAAATGTAAACAGTATGCAATACTTTAGAGCAAATAAATAATATACAGAGCAAGAGACTAACAACCCCGTCTCCTATATAAATTACTAAATGTGAAAAGAAGGAAAACTTTAGGGTCTTCTTTTTCAGGTCGCCCTGCCTCAGTGTGGGAGAGGTGTATTAAAAAACACAGTAGGTTAAAGATACAAAAATTAATTTGAAGAAGTATCAACAGAAATTTATAAAAATTTCTCACCATTTTATCAGCAACAGCTCTCTTTTCAGCTCTAAATTTCTCTTTGATAGCTTTCAGTTCCTCCGTGAGACTTCTAGTTGATTTCTCCGCTTCACGCTCTACACGCATGATCTCCTCCTACAAGTAAACAGTAATGCTTAAATGGTATTCATTACCATGGAAGATGAAGATTCGATTTTCTCAAATATAAATGTATAAGAAACATTCAAACCTTTGTTGATCATGTCAAAAATAGCCACTCTGATGTAAATTAATTAATTTAATCAGGCTTTCTTTGCCTTCAAAAACAGTAAATACAATCAACTCATCCATAAAAGTGCAAAAATAAAGGTACAAAATAGTATTAACAACTAGTCAACATATATTTGTGAAAAATTCAAATAAAACAATCCATGTTTCATGTCATTTCAATTTAATAATTAGATAAATTAAAAAACTTATTTAACTATCTAAATTTCAACACATATACTGAACTGGAATTCTGATAAAGGCTTATGAACAGAAAGCAACATGAAGTGATTCACCTTGTCAGTCGAGATTTGTTTCTCTTTATCAATGAGCTTGGCTTCAAGTGACTGGATGTGAGTGTTGCATTTCTCTAATTTTTCATAGGCAGCTTGCAGCTGTTAACACAAAAAAGTACTGTATAAGAAATACAATAAATACAATTTTCATCGACACTACTTGACCTAATGAGTGTGTACAGCAAAATCAGTTTTTCTTCACATTTTGTATATGCTACATCAATCTGTATTGCTAGCCTTGTACCCTGGGGTCTTTTCTGGACTGGCCTAGGCCAGAAATCTGTGTAGTGACAGGACAATGAGTTGTTCCTCCCTATCCCTCTATAGCCAAGGTATTCAATTACCCTCACCACAACCTTCCTATACAATGTGCCCAGGCACTTAAGACCCTCATCAAAACAGCAAGGTGAAAAGCATATGTAAAAATGTTTCAGATATGATGGGAAGGAATAGGAGAATAGGAGGCCATTTTATTACTGCCTATGCCTTCACTTTTCTCACCACAATCTGCCACACCACAAAAAAGAAGAGGGTATAGAGCACGTGCAGTGTTGTATCAGATATGATGGGAGAGAGGCAGTTCTGGTACTGCCTGAACTTGCATTTTTCTCACCACAACCAATGTCCTTACCATAAAAGTGAAGTGGAGAGCATGTGCAAGGAGCATTTTATCAGCTATAATGGGAGAAGGGGAGGCAAATGCTATTGTCCATCCTAAACTTCCATAACCACAATCCTCCCACACCCCACAACCACAACAATATATCTGTGATATACTAGGTAAGGGGCAAAGAAAATATGTAGGGTGCTGTCAATATGACAGACAAGAGGAAGATTCTGCTGCAGCCCATGCTTGCACCTCTAACCACAACCCTCACACACATGCTCAGGCAACTAATACCCTTACTGTGAGTAGATGGTAGGCATATGTAAAGTGTGTTGTGTCATGATGGAAGAGTGAGAAGAGAATGCAAGGGGTAGTTAGTAAGAGGGAGGTTAGAAAAGGGAGGAAGAAATGTGAAGGGAAAAGGAAATAGTGCCAAATATTTTCTATTTCATTACTAAAAAAATATCGAATATTATGGTTAAGAAATGCATCTCCAATTATAACATGTTTCTATAGGAAAACAGATTCAGAATACCAAACACATGAGTTATGAATGATTTCCAGGAACACATCACATGTGTTTTTAGAGATCCTTTGTTTAAGAACATAGGATTATATTATAGTAGAAAATAACTCACAGGTGGAAAATTATTTAAATGGACTAGTTAGTATTTAATCAGAAGACTTTAAAATGAAATAATGAGTTATGTTATTGACAATAATAATGCATACAATAAGTCACTGTTAATCACCTGTATTACACTCAAATAATACTAACCTCACTTTCTAAGGCTGTATTTGTAGTCTTCATCTTCACTTCTTGTTCCTTCATTAAATTCTTTACTTCGCCTAATTTGACTTCATACTGGGAGCAGACAAGTTTCATTTCTTCAGTCATTGTAGTAAGAGCCTCTGACTTCTCTGCTAACTGAGCACTCAACTCAGAAATTTTTAAATTTTCATTTTGCTGCTGAGAGAGATGTCTTTCCTCTACTTGGTTTAACATAGTTTCATGCTGCAAGGAAACATTTCTAATGTTCTCCTCTAAAGTGCAGATTACATTAGATTTTTCAATTAAATTTTCATTAAATTTATTAATTGTCTCTTCAGCATCTTTCTGTTGTTGTTTTTTTTCTTGACTCATAATATCAAAAGCAGTTTTTAAGCGGCTCAGCTCACCTGACATAACCTGCTCTTTTTGATTATGTATTTTCTTCAATTCACATATTTCTTCTTTTAAAGAATTCAGATATGATGCATCTTCAATAATTTTATCATTCATTTCCTGTAAAATTCTCGTATGTGTTTTCTCCAGCTTTGTAATTTTTTCTTTAAGTGATTCGATGATTTCATTTTTCTCGTCTATAGTACCTTGCATCTGCAACACCAAATTATTATGTTTTTCTGTGTCCTCTTCATGTTGCTGCTGAAGAGTTTCATACAAATGATTTCTTTCAGCAATACTCTCTTCCAGTTGTGACATCTCCTGCTGTCTCTCTATCAAGTTTTTGCTGTAACCAGAATCTTTATTTTTAATATCTTCCTTCAGAAACTCAACCTCATCTTTCAGGGAAACATTCAGCTTCTTTTCCAATTCATATTTTTCCTGCACATCCTCTATCTCTACCTTAAGTTTATTGATATTCCTATCCTTTTCTAAGATTTGGAGGGAGTGTGTCATAGTGTCAGCAGCAGAGCTTTCCTGTGCTCTCTCGTATTTATCCCTTATGGAAATGAAACTCTGTTGCTGAGCATTTAATTCATTTAGCAGAGACTCCTTCTCAGATGCAAAAGTATTTGTAACTTCTTCCAATTTAAATTTCAAGGATGCAATAGTATCTTCCTTCTCTTTAATGACAACATTCAGGGATATTTTCTCTTGAGCATGCATCTTCAAATGGTTCTCTTTCTCTTCCTTAAGTTGTATAATAAGTTCTTGTTTCTCTTGCACTTCTCTGTTATTTTTGTTTTTTAATGTTTCTACTGAAGATTCCATTTCTTGCCTTAGGCTTTCAAAAGAATTTTCCTTAATCTTAAACTCACTGCATAATGCTTCTCTCTCTTCACTAACTTGTGTAAGGAGTGTCTTGATTTGCTGCTCTTGATTTAATACTACATTTTTATTTTCCTCTATGTTCTTAATGAGCAAAGCCTTCTCCTCACTGAATGATGTTACTTGATTTTGTAGCTTATTTTCAAGGCAAATATATGTAGCTTGCCTTTCTTCAAGCTCTCTCATTAAATCTGCCTTTTCCTTGCTATGTGCTTGAAGAGCTCTTTCCACTTTTTCATGTAGTGCACTTAAGGCATCTTCTTGAACTTTAATTACATCATTCATTGTGGCTCTTTCCTCCTCAAGTACCTTTATAATTTTATCTTTTTCATTTTCCATCATTTTAAGATTTTCATTGCTAACAGTGTTCCTCTTCTCTGCTTCCAGTAACACCTAGAAAAAGTAATTTACCATTACAAATGCTTACTTAATTACAACAGTGACTACTATATTAAAAACCTAATGAAGCTTTGGCAACTTCATACTCTGTTTGCATTAATTCATCATAATACTACAAATTAAACACTCAAGCTCTATCATAATACACATACTCTTAATCAACATAAAAGATGTCTTTAAAATTTTTACTGTAGCCTTTAGTATTTTGAACATCCAGCAAGATGGAGCTTATTGCATTTTCATCCAAGACAGTGTTGTAAGTCATACATATGCTTTATGATATATTGAAAGGCAAAAAATAAGGGCTACCACAGTCAAAATCTGGGTTAGTGAACAAATAAAATCTTAAACGTTTTGTCTGTGGGAGTGTGTAGTGTCTTGTGGATCTGTACGGTAGGAAGAGCCCAAATAGTATGGTAAGCTGAGCTTCATAGCTCCAATCTCTCCCACTCCTGTGTTTTTCTCCATTGCTTGAATTTGGTGCTTATTCTTTTCTGTCATGTAATGCTTCCTGCAATTTTTGTTTACTTATTTAAACTAAAGAGGGAAGAAGAGTGTTGCTAGCAAGTAATACAAACAATCAAATTACAAATAATTTACTACCAATTACAAAAAAGTTACCGAACCAATACAAATCCACCATACATCTAGAACCTGAACTTACACCCACTTGCACTGAATTTAAGAAAGACCCAAGGTAAACATAATTTAGGAAATCACTAACTATTGCTAACTTACCTCAAGCTGATGACACAATAGCATGCACTGTTGGTAGTGATGTTGGCATAATTTTATGGCACTTATTAGTTATGCCTTAGATGGCCTAAGAATTTTCCTGCCTGCAGCCTGGCTCAGAGCTACAGGGCAGGAGCTACAAGGAAAGGAGCTGAACCTAAAGACACTGGAGGACAGAAGGAACAGGAAAGACATGATAACAACATACAGGAACAGGCTCTTTGAGAGGCTGAAAACAGGTACTTGGGGGCAAAGCTTGAAGTTAAAGATACAGATGAGTCACAGGGATGTCAGCATTTCTTCAGTCTCAAGATGGTTGGGAAGTGGAATGACCTTGACAATGAAGTCATGGAGGCACACCATAAATAGTTTTAAGAATAGATACAGCAGGGCCCACAAGGACATAAGAGTGAATCTGGCAAGCAGCAAGTTGAGAGTCGAGACCAAGAGTACACTTTTTTGTTTTGCGAACATTTATAAAGACAGGTTGATAAATTAGACCCATATGCAACACTTGGGTATCTTTACTGTGGAAATGTTTCATCACACAGCGGCTTCATCAGTACAATACAAAGAAGGTGAAAATCAAAAGGAGTTCGAGGTAATCAGTCCCTCACCCTGGAGTTGAAGTAATCAGTCCATGATAGATAAATTAGACCCATATGCAACACTTGGGTATCTTTACTGTGGAAATGTTTCATCATACAGTGGCTTCATCAGTACAATACAAAGAAGGTGAAAATCAAAAGGAGTTCGAGGTAATCAGTCCCTCACCCTGGAGTTGAAGTAATCAGTCCATGAATATTTTCAAGATCAGGAGTTCAAGGTAATCAGTCTGGAGTCATTGTAATCACTGCATCAATCTTGTCAAGACTGACGGACTGATTACGTCAACTACAGGCTGAGGAACTGAGTACCTCAAGCTCCCTCTGATTTTCATTATTCTTCTTTGTACTGGACTAATGAAGCCACTGTGTGACAAAATGTTTCCATAATAAAGATACCCAAGTGTTGCACATGTCTAATTTATCAACTTCACTGTTCTCTGAACCATTTATCTACATAAAGGCAGGTAAATCTTAACCTCTAATCTTTACCTTCCATTTTTTTTCTTAAACAGATCAATTTTTTTTTTTCAACGAGTCGGCCGTCTCCCACCGAGGCAGGCTGACCCAAAAAGATAGAAAATCCCCAAAGAGAAAATACTTTCATCATCATCTGACACTTCACCTCACTCATACATAATCACTATTTTTGCACAGGCACTCAAATGCAGTGGACCCCCGGTATTCGATATTAATCCGTTCCTGAGAGCTTATTGAATACCGAAAATATCAAAAACTGAATCAATTTTCCTCACAAGAAATAATGGAAATCAAATTAATCCGTGCAAGACACCCAAAAGTATGAAAAAAAAAAAATTTTACTACATGAAATATCAAGTTTAATGCAATAGAATAATTACAATAACAATAAAATAATTGACACTTACCTTTAATGAAGATCTGGTGATGATTGATGGGATGGGAGGAGGGGAGAGGTGTTAGTGTTTAGAAGGGGAATCCCCTTCCATTAGGACTTGAGGTAGCAAGTCCTTTTTCTTTTGCAAAAACAGCTTCCTTGATTGCCGTTTTCCTGGTCACTATAGTAGAGATGGTTGATTGGGGTTTATTATACAACCTGACTAGCTCCGACACACGCACTCCACTTTCGTGCTTTGCAATCATCTCTTTCTTCATTTCATAAGTCATTAGCGACTATTTTCTCGAAGGGTTGGCACTAGAAGCTTTCTTGGGGCCCATGGTGACTTATTTTGCAGAAACAAGCACGAAACAGTGATAATATGGATAATATTGAATGTACCGAATGTATCCTTAGATGCGCGCACACTGGCTGGATTGTAAACACTGGCACACAAGGGGCAGTTCAGGCCACACGTGGACACGTCTCGTACGAATCGTATCGAATACCGGGTTTTCACTCGAATACCGAGGAAATTTTTTTGCGATATAATGCATCGAATACCGGATTTATCGAACACCGATGCCATCGAATACCGGGGGTCCACTGTACAACAGTTTAGAAATCCCTCCCAATTGTCAAAATCTTAATTATCTAAAGTAAACTATCTAACTACCCTAAAGAAAGTGGGTTAAATTACATTCCTCAAAGTCAAGTGCACTATAGATGAATAAATGCCTAGAATAAGGGTTTAGTAACCACTTACTGTAAATGCATTAAAAAACTAGAAAGAAGGAAATTTTGAAGTATATTTTGTCATGCTTTTTCGGCAGTGTTGGTCAAACTTCAGTGACCCAGAAATAGGTCTATTAACAAATCCTCTCACTGCATCCTTGGCCTTAAAAATTAACTACATGCAAATTTTTTTTTTCTCAACAAACTGGCCATCTCCCACTGAAGCAGGGTGACCCAAAAAGAAAATACTTTCATCATCATTCAACACTTTCACCTCACTCACACATAATCACTGTTTTTGCAGAGGTGCTAAGAATACAACTGTTCAGAAGCATATACATATAAAGAATACACAATGTATCCCTCCAAACTACCAGTATCTGAAACCCCTCCTTTAAAGTGCAGGAATTGTACTTCCCATTACCAGGACTCAAGTCCGGCTATATAAAAATAACCGGTTTCCCTGAATTCCTTCACTAAATATTACCCTGCTCACACTCCAACAGCTTGTCATGTCCCAAATACGATTCGTCTCCATAGACTCCTATTTAACACGCTCATGCACACTTGCTGGAAGTCCAAGCCCCTCGCCCACAAAACCTTCTTTACCCCCTCCTTCAAACCTTCTCGAGGACGACCCCTACCCCGCCTTCCTTCCCCTATAGATTTATACGCTCTCCATGTCAATCTACTTTGATCCATTCTCTTTAAATGACCAAACCACCAACACAACCCCTTTGAATAATACTTGTATTAACTCCACACCTCGTAATTTCCACACTTCAAATTTTCTGCATAATCCTTACACCATACACTGCCCTTAGACAGGACATCTCAACTGCCTCCAACCATCTCCTCACTACAGTATTTACAACCCAAGCTTCACACCCATATAAGTGTGTTGGTACCACCATACTTTCATACATTCCCTTCTTTGCCTCCAAAGATAACGTTTTTTTTTGTCTCCAGATATGCCTCAATGCACCACTCACCTTTTTTCCTTCATCAATTCTATGATTAACCTCATCCTTCATAAATCCATCCACTGGCACGTTAACTCCCAAATATATGAAAACATTTACTTCTTCCATACTCCTCCTCTCCAATTTGATATCCACTTTTTCTTTATCTAAATCATTTGATACCCTTATCACCTTACTATTTTCTATGTTCACTTTCAACTTTCTACCTTTACACACACTCCCAAACTGGTCCATTAACCTTTGCCATTTTTCTTTAGAATCTCCCATAAGCACAGTATCATCAGCAAAAAGTAATTGTGTCAATTCCCATTTTGTATTTGATTCCCCATAATTTAATCCCACCCCTCTCCCCAATACCCTAGCACTTACTTCTTTTACAACCCCATCTATAAATATCTTAAACAACCATGGTGACATTACACATCCCTGTCTAAGACCTTCTTTTACCGGGAAGTAGTCTCCCTTTCTTCTACACACCCTACCCTGAGTCTCACTATCCTCATAAAAACTCTTTACAGCATTTATTAACTTACTACCTACTCTATATACTTGCAACATCTGCCACATTGCTCCCCTATCCACCATCATATGCCTTTTCTAAATCCATGAATGGAATGAAAACTTCCCTACCTTTATCTAAATATTGTTCACATATATGCTTCAATGTAAACACTTGATCTACACACCCCCTACCCACTCTAAAACCTCCTTGCTCATCCGTAATCCTACATTCTGTCTTACCTCTAATTCTTTCAATAATAACCCTACCATACACCTTTCCTGGTAAACTGAGTAAACTAATTCCTCTATAATTTTTACAATCTTTTCTGTCCCCCTTTCCTTTATATATAGGAACTATACATGCTCTCTGCCAATACCTAGGTACCTTCCCCTTTCATACATTTATTAAACAAAAATACCAACCACTCTAACTATATCCCTCCCCCTGCTTTTAACATTTCTGTCATGATCCCGTCAGATCCAGCTGCTTTACCCCCTTTGATTGTACGTAATGCCTCAAGCACCTCCCCCACACTCGCATCCTGCTCTTCTTCACTCCTAAAAGATGGTATACCTCCG